GCCGGTGAGATTTGAACAGCCGAACTGCAGAACTGCAGTCAGCTGAAGTAGCCTGCAGTGCTGCACTCTAACCACTGCGCCACCTCGGCTCTTAAGAGTGAGAGTCCCCAAGCTGCTGGCCAGTCAAGGGGGGTGGGGCTCCAGGCAGTGCGCTGGGACCACTGAGATCCGTGACCCCATTTTTGCATCAAGGGGGATGCGAAGCAATGCAGAGGCTTCTGGAGGAGCGGCTCGGTCGGAGCTGGCTCAGGCAATTGAACCGTGTGGACGGCGGTCACCATTTTGTGTGGCGGCCATCTTGGAGATGCATGTGGCTGGAGCGTGTTGATCGGCACTCCTGTACAGCTCGCTGCAGGCGCTCAGAAGCCACCACCGGTTCCGAGGAGCACCAACCAGGGCCAGTGCTCGATTAATCTGGGAGAACCAGGAAGAGGAAGTAGAGAGGAGTGGCCTTGAATTTAACCTCAGTCTCCGGGCAGATTGGACGTGAGAATACCCATCTGTGACTCCACCCACAGGAGCTTTGAGACATGCAGTTCAGGTAAGACCAACTGACATTCCCTCTGCTCCCTTACACAAGGTCACTTTGGAGACTAAGGCACTCCATCCTCCATCGTGGCTTACCTGCTGTACACCTTTCATTCTCTGCTAAGGTGGCCTGAAGAATTTGATCTTGTTCGGACTGAGTCCGTTCTTGTTCCTCCAAGGTCAGCCTCATGTCGTCAATGATCTTCTCTTTGCACCGTACATCTAAAGTTTGGAATAAAAATGGCGACTCTTGTAAATCTTCTGTGTGCAGTCCTTCCACGAAGTGAATTCTTTGGGGAGCAGGGAGACATGGCTGTGGGCCTCAGGACCACTTTTCCAACCCAAGAGATTCCCTGCTTCAGCTTCCTGCTCTGTGCAGAAAGGAAGCCTGCTAATGTGAGGAAAAGGGGTTTTATTGGTTCACCGACAAAAGGGCGAACGACAAAACCGTGCCCGACTAAACCGCGTCGCTGATGTCATCAACAGGGCGACA